CGAGAGGGGCGGGGCCATATCTAGAGCGGCAGCGACTCATCTCGGGGCCCGGGGAGCTTGGAGGTGCGGCTGCGAGGGGCAAGCAGGCCAGGCCCACCTCCAGGATGTAGTCGGAGCAGTCGTGCAGCAGCAGCACCAGAGAGCCGATGCGCAGCAGGTTGGAGCTGTAGGAGAAGGTCATCAGGACGATGGCCACGAAGTGATGTGCCACCTGCTCCTTGAAATCCTGCGGGAGACAGGGGGGTCACAGCAGGGACAAGGCTCAGTGGCCGGGGGGCCCCCCCTTCCGGCCTAGAAGCAGGCCCTCTCAGGGGACTTGTGTGGCCTCTGGACCCGATGGCCTCTCCGCCTCCTGCCCGGAGATACCAGGGGGATCTCAGTGTGGTTGTGAGGCCACCCCTCGCCACCCCAGGTCCCTGTTCTGAGACTGAGTCCCCGGACTCTCATCTGGCCTCACCTTGCGCTTGACGTCAAAGGGCAGCGTGATGAGCAGTGAGATATAGAAACTCAGCTCCAGGAGGTACCACCAGTACAGAGCGGGCTTCAGGGTCTGTGGCAGGGCAAGACAGAGTTAGCTGTGGGAGCGAAGGCTCCACCCAGCAGGGGCCCGGCTCAGGGGCCTCCCTGTTGGCTCAAAATCAGGACATGAATCTCAGTGAGTGAGCTCCCTGTCCCTGGAGGTAATCAAGGGCAGAAGTTTTGTGGCAGCTCCTGCTCCAAGTTTCCTGACTCCTGGCCCTCTCTGTTCCACAGGGACAGTCAGAAAGTGGGACCCACAGGGGAATTACGATGTGACACCCAGGTCTGGCTCTCGAGCCTATGGCCCCAGGAACTCTCCAAGTCCCCGCTCACCCTCTGCCGCTCACCTGGTTTGGGTAATTGTCCCAGCACATCACCGGTGTCCACAGCCATGACTCCTGTAGAGAAACAGGTGTGTCGGGCTGTGAGCAGTCAGAAGCCAGCCCCTCATGCCGGGTCTAGGGCCTCCTTGGGGCTCCCATGGCCCCCAAGGTATTACTTTGACTCAGCCCTGCTTTTTCCTGCCCGGTTCTATCTCTGTTTCTCACTCTTGACTGGGGGATCATTCCCTGCAGAGACCCCGCTCCCCAGTGAAGTCTTACTCTGTCGCCCAGGCTGGAGTACAGTGGAGCTCATCACAGCCTTGACCTACTGGGTTCAGGCAACCCTTCCGCCTCAACCTCCCGAATAGCTGGGATTACAGGTGTGCACCACTATGCCTGGCTGTCTTCTGTCTTGTATTTTTTTTTTTGGAGAGACGAGGTCTCACTATGTTACCCAGGCTGGTCTTGAGTTCCTGGGCTCAAACAGATCCTACCGCCTTTGGGATTTTGTAATTCCAGAGTGTTGGGATTACAGGCATGAGCTATCATGCCCAGACTCTAGTGCCTGCTGAGTGAATATTCACCACAACCTTGCCATGCTCTCTCCAGCCTCCCTGCTTTCCTCGACCGCTGTACCCCTTCCCCCAGATCTAGGCCCGATGCATGCAGGTGCTCATGAGACAGGTGGGTGGGGCAGGTGCGCTGTCAGGTATACTCACATGGTACAGGACCGAGAGACCGCCGAAGAAGGCGCACAGATAGAAGACGAACCGCCAGCTGCAGGCATGGAGGAAGCCCGTGAGACAGCTGTTGAAAGGGCAGACCCCGCCCCCCAGCTGCCCCGCCCCCAGACACGCCCTCCGGTCCCACCCC